GGTTCCCAGGCTCATTCCCAATGCCAGTCCCAGTGCCATTCCCAATCCCAAGCTGTCAGGGGGTCCCTGCACCCCAAACCTGAGCTGGGGCTTCCCACCATGCCTGGGCTGATTCCCAGTGCCATTCCCATTCCAGATCCCAATCCCAGGGTGTCGGGGGGGTCTCTGAGCCAGGGGTTCCCACTGTGCCCAAGCTCCTTCCCATTCCCAGTCCCAGGGTGTTGGGGGTTCCCTGCACCCCAAACCTGAGCTGGGGCTTCCCACCATGCCTGGGCTGATTCCCAGTGCCATTCCCATTCCAGATCCCAATCCCGGGATGTTGGGGGATCCCTGCCTCCCAAACCTGAGCCAGGGGTTCCTGCCGTGCCCGGGTCATTCCCATTCCCAATCCCAGGGTGTTGGGGGGTCCGTGCCCCCCAAACCTGAGCTGGGGGTTCCCACCATGCCCGGGCTCATTCCCAGTGCCATTCCCAACGCTATTCCCGATCCCTCCCCAGGGCTACACGCTGGTGGAGTACGAGACGTACAAGGAGGCGCAGGCGGCCATGGAGGGGCTGAACGGGCAGGAGCTCATGGGGCAGCCGGTCAGCGTCGACTGGTGCTTCGTCAGGGGCCCCCCCAAGGGCAAGCGGAGGTGAGGGACGGGAATTCCGGAAGCTGGGAGTGGGAGAGACCTCCGGGAGCATCGGAACCCCCCCCGGTGTGCGGAACGGGGGCCATTCTGTGTGCCATCATGGGGAGGGACTGGGGTTAAAATAGGGATAAATGTGCCAAAATGCTTTGTCTCCACTTTCCCTCATCCTCTTTTCCTCTTTGCCTTTTCCCTTCCCTCCCATCTATTCCCTGTTTTCCAGGGGTGGGCGCCGGAGGAGCCGCAGTCCGGACCGGCGCCGCCGGTGATGGATCCAGGCTTCATCCTGTCCGTGTTCCGAGTCCAAACTGGGCGAAACTGGGAAAACTGGGGGGGGTTTGGACACAGGTCTGAGGAGCCAAACCGGCTCCATCCCTTGGGAAATCGGGGTTTTGCGGAATTTTATTGTTTTCAAAGGACAAACACGAGGGGAGCAGCAGCCCCTGAGGGTTGGGGGTGTTTCCCTCGGGTTTGGGGGGATCCCTCCCAGCCTCCCATCCCAGCACATCCCAGGAGTTTTTTCCCTACCCCAAGCAAACGTTCCCTTATTTCCCGTGGGATTTATCCCACCGGGAAACCCTTATATTCTGTTAAATAATAGTTTTTGTGTAAATTTGGCTTCTTGTTCTTTGTCCTTCATTAGACCCCCCCCAGCCCCTCTCCTGCCCCTTTTCCTAAAATCCCTCCCTGTCCCAGCTGCTGGATCCCTGGGGATCCCTCCCAGCCTGGCAGGAGAACGACTTGGGCCTTGGAAAAGCCTTTTTTTCCCTTAAAACTTGGCATTGGGAAGCGACAGCTTTGGGGGGCAACCCAGGGGACTTCCCATGTCCAGCTGTGCCCCCCTCCAGATGTGCCAGTCCCCAAACCCCCCAGATGTGCCCCCAGATGTGCCCCCCTTCCACACTCGGAGCCGCTGAGCTGCACGGGGGCCTTTATTGAAGGACACCACCCCCCCCAAAAACGGGGACCCCCCTGGGAAGGGGGCCAGGGGAGGGGTGAGGAGCTGTGCAGACCCCCAGCCGTGGGTTTAAGGGGAAAAGCTGCCGGGAGGATGAGGAGGGAGCAGGAGGAAGATGCAGGGAAAAGCCCCCGACTCCCGAGGGAATCGGGGGGGGAGGGGGACGTGCCGAGTTTGTGCCGACAGCGATGGAGGGGCCACGAGCCCTGGGTGGGTTCAGAGCAAAGGGGGCCCGGGGGGGGGTCCCAGAGGATGCTGAGGGGGATCCCCGGGGGTCTCTAAGAGCCGGGCTCGGGGCCCAGGGCGCTGCGGAAGGCGACGAGCTCCGGCTGCATGGAATGGCGGCGGCGCAGCAGCGCCCGGGGGGGCCCGGGGGGCAGCGGGGGCAGCAGCCCGGCCCTGGGGGGCTCCAGGGACAAAGTTCCGGAGCCGCGGCGCTCCAACAGCCCGCCCGGGCGCCGGAGTGGCCCGGGGGGAGCCACCTCGGGGTCAAGGGGGTCCCGGCCCAGGGGTTTGCCCCGTGGAGGGTCGGGGGGCCGACGTGCCGTGGGGGGCACGGGGGGCACCCGCTCGGCCCAGGCGGGCCCCGGCAGCCCCGAGGCCTCGCGCCCCTCCATGCTGTGCCGGCGCGGGCGCAGCCCCGGCCCTTCCAGCCCCCCCAGGGGGGCCCATGTCCCTTCCAGGGCTCCTCGAGGCCCCTCTGGGGAAGCCCATGACCCTTCCGAAGGGGTCCCCTCCAAGGACCCCCACGTCCCTTCCAGGCTTCCCCGTGTTGTCCCCTCCAGCCCCGGCACCGCCAGCCCCCAGGGCTCCGAATTGAGCCTCTTCAGCTGCCTCTTGGGCCCGGCCCGCGACGGTTCCGGAGCGGCGGCCGGAGCCGCCGGCGGGAAGCGGAACACATCCCGCTCCTCATCCCTCCCGCCCGCGCCCGGCGACGCCGCCGACGCCGCCCGCACCTCCACCTGGGAGGGGGAGGCGCAGAGCGCGGGCGACGGCGGCGAGTTCAGGTACTGGCGGGTGGTCTTGGTGCCGCGGGGCGACGTGGCCGAGGTGATGATGATGACGTCGCGGCCGCGCTCCCGGCACGCGTCCAGCAGCACCTGCAGCGTCTCCCGGTCCCCGCGCTCCAGCGCGTAAACCAGCGCCGAGCCGCCGGCGTAGTCCCGGGCGCTGGGGTCGGCGCCGTGGGCCAGCAGGACGGCGGCCACGGCCGGGCCGGCGCGCTCGGCGCAGGCGTGCATCAGCGCCGTCTTCCCGGCCTTGTCGGGGATGTTGGGATCGGCGCCGTTTTCCAGAAGGTACCGCACCATGCGCGGCTGCTCCGGCGGGTCGGCGTAGCCGGCGCGGCACGCGGCCATCAGCGGCGTCGTGCCCGCGGCGTTGCCCTCGTTGATGTAGGCTCCCCCTTCCAGCAGCAGCCGGGTCAGGCGGAATTTCCCTTGGGATACCGCGCGCAGCAGCGCCGAGCCCTCGGCCGGGATCATGGCGAGCCCCGACGCCAGCGCGGCGGCGCCGGGGGGGCGGCGCACGGGGCTGGGCATGGCCGGGCTCACCGGCCGGGGCGCGGGGACGGGGGTGGCACCCGCTCACTGCAAGGGGAGATGGTGCGGGGTGAGACCCCCCCCGAGCATCCCGGGATGAGCACAAGGTGAGACCCCCACCCCTGAACCCCTCAGGGTGGGCACAAAGTGAGACTCGGAGCCCCCTGGGAAGAGCACGGGGTGAGACCCCCCCCACCCTGAATCCCCCGTGATAAGCATGGGGTGAGACCCCCTCCAAATCCCCCAGAATGAGCACAAGGTGAGACCCCTCCTGAACCCCTCAGGGTGGGCAAAAGGTGAGACATTGGAGCCCCTTGGGATGGGCACAAGGTGAGACCCCAGAGCCCTCTGGGATGGGCACAAGGTGAGACCCTGGAGGCCCCTGGAATGGGTACATGATGAGACCTTAGAGCCCCCTGGGATGGGCAAAAGTTCAGATCCCAGAGTCCCCTGGGATGGGCACAAGGTGAGACCTCAGAGCCCCCTGTGATGGGCACAAGGTGAGACCCCGGAGCCCCCTGGGATGGGCACAAGGTGAGACCCCGGAGCCCCCTGGGATGGGCACAAGGTGAGAACCTGGAGGCCCCTGGAATGGGCACATGGTGAGACCTCAGAGCCCCCCGCTCCCTGCCTCAGTTTCCCCAGCAAGGGAAGGTTCCCGCAGTGCTGAGCCCCCCCTGGCTTGTGTCCCCCTCCCACATCCCCCCTGCCTGTACCCCCAGCCCTTGCCTGCACCCCCAAACCCCCCCTGCCACCAGCTCCTCTCACTCCCCATATCCCTTCCTTCACCCCTCTTCGTTCTCCTCATCCTCCTGCCTGTGCCCCCCCTGCATCCCCTGCTCCTACCCCCATCCTGCCCCTACCCCCATCCTGCTGGTACCCCCGTCCCTGCCTGTCCCCCCATCCATGCCGGTACCCCGATCCCTGCCCTCGCGGTTCCCATGGCGACGGCGGCTCATCCCGCTCCTCCGCTCCGTCCAGCCGGGAAAATGGGGGAGAATCCACCGCCCTCCCAGTCCCCTCAGCCAGACACCCCCGAGCCCGGGCCTGGGGCCTGCCCCGTGCCCCCCACAGCGGAGACCCCCCATCCAGCCCTTCTCCCCCCTCCATCCCCCCGTTACCGTGGCAACCGGAGCGTGGGGTCCCTCCGCTCCGGGTCCCGGTCCCCGCAGCCCTGGGGATGGGAGTGTCGGGGACAGCGGCCCGTGGCCGCCATCCCGGCCCGCCGCCGGTGCGGGGGGGGGGCCGGGAGGTGATGTAGAGGGTCCCCCCCCCTCCCGCAGCGCTATTTTTGGCAGCTGCCGGCGCGGGGGGGGAAGGCTGGAGCGGGATGAATCACCCACGACGCAGTCAGCGCCCGGCGCCCGGCCCTGCGTGGGGGCGAGGAGGGCCTCGGGGGGCTGTGGGGCACAAGAGGCTGGCGGGGGTCTCGTGGGGCTGGGGGCCGTGGGGTAGCGGGGCTGGGGGCCATGAAGCACCGGAGATTCGGGGAGTTGTGGGGCAGCGGGGCTGGGGGCACAGCACAGTGGGGCTGGGGGTCACATCACAGTGGCACTGGGGCCGTAGGGCAGCGGGACTGGGGGTCCCAAAACAGTGGGGCTGGGGGGGCAGAGCACAGTGGAACCGGGGCCGTGAGGGGCTGGGGGGACCAGCGAGGCCCCACTACCGGGGGGGGGCTGAGCTGTCCCAGGGCAGAGGGGCTGGGGGGGATCCGGGGGTGGGGGCCCAGGGGCCTCTTCGCCCCCTTTTTCCCCCTCCCCGTCCCTCCATCGGTCCCGTCCGGCCGCCCCCTCCCCATTCATCCACCGGCACCGCCCCTCGCCCCGCCCCTCGCCCTCACCCGCCAATCAGCGCGGGGCTCGCCGCCAAGCCCCGCCCCTTCCGCGCGGGGCGGAGCCGCGGAAGCCCCGGACACACGTGGAGCGACTGCGCGTGCGCGGGGTGAGAGCGGGACCGGGACCGGGACCGGGGATGGGAATGGGAATAGGGATAGGGGGTGGGGGACACCGGGACTGGGATCAGGAATAGGAATAGAGAGTGAGGAGACACTGGGACTGGGACCGGGAATAGGGATAGGGGGACACCGGGACCGAGGGAGCACCGGGAGGGACCGGGAATGGGGATACGGAGAACGGGGGAGACCAGGACCGGGAGGGACCACGAAGGGGGAGAATCGGGACCAGGGCGGGCACCGGGACCGGAGGAGTGACCGTGACAGGACCGAGGGGTGAAGCGGGCTGGGGAGCGGGACCTGGGGGGACACCGGGAGCGGAGGCCGGGCCGGGGGTGTCACTGTGCCCCCCTGTCCCCCCCCAGCGCCCCCCCGGGCCCAGGATGGCGGGCCGGGGTCGGGGTCGGGGCCGGGGGCAGATGACGTTCAACGTGGAGGCCGTGGGGATCGGGAAGGGGGACGCGCTGCCCCCGCCCACGCTGCAGCCCTCGCCGCTCTTCCCGGTGAGTCTGAGCACTGACACACTCATCACACCTTCCCCTCCCTCCCCCCCCCCTTTAATCCAGGCCCTGGAGCACCAGAGGGGTCCATGGAGGGGCTGAGCACTGGCACACTCATCACACCCATGCCCCCCTCTTCCCAATCCAGGCCCTGGAGCACCAGGGGGAATTTATGGAGGGGGGGGGCTGAACACTGACACACTCATCACACTTGTGCACCCCCCCCCGGCCCTGGAGCACTGGGAGGGGCCTGAGCACTGACACACTCATCACACCTTCCCCTCCCTCCTTCCCCCTTTAATCCAGGCCCTGGAGCACCAGAGGGGTCCATGGGGGGGCTGAGCACTGGCACACTCATCACACCCGTTCCCCCTCTCCTTCCCCAACCCAGGCCCTGGAGAACTGGGGGGATTTATGGGGAGGCTGAGCACTGACACACTCATCACACACATGCCCCCCCCCCAGGCCCTGGAGCACCAGGGGGGATTTTTGAGGGGGCTGAGCACTGACACACTCATCACACCCCTGTGCCCCCCCCAGCCCCTGGAGCACCGCGCCGCGCCCCTGCCGGGGGGGGGAGGAGGGTGAGTACATGCTGGCGCTGAAGCAGGAGCTGCGCAGGGCCATGAGGGGCCTCCCCTACTTCGTCAAACCGGGGGCTCCCCGCAGAGGTACCGGGAATGGGGGGGTGTGTGGGGTGTGGATCCTGAGCCTCCTGTACCCCTCCCGTGAGGAGGAGGAGGGGCAGGAATTGGGGGACAGAGAGGGGGCCTGTCCCATTGTCATCCCCCCCCCCCAGCCCTATCACAACCCACCCCATTGGGCCCCCCCACCCCATCTGTGCCGTCCCGGGGGGGTTCCCACGGGGGTCCCCAGGGCTGGGTGTCCCGTCCCCCCACCCAGAGTGACCCCCTCTGTTGCCCCCCCCCAGACATCGAGCGCTACTCGGACAAGTACCAGCTCTCCAGCCCCGTGGACAGTGCCATCGACTGGAACCCAGGTGGGGGGACACGGAGGGGACCCGAGGAGGGGGTCACGGGGACATGGGGGGGCTCGGGGGGTGGGCTGACCCCCCCCCCCCACCCCAACTTTACCCCCCAGACTGGAGGCGGCTCCCGCGGGAGCTGAAGATCCGGGTGCGGCGGCTGCGGAAAGGCAGTGAGTGACCCCCCTCTCCTTTGCCCATGTGCCCCCTGTGCCACCCCCTGTGCCCCCCCAGGGGGTGACAGTCCTCTGTGCCCTCCCCCGGGGGGGTGACAGTCCCCTGTGCCCCCCCAGGGACCACCCCCCTCGTCCCCAAGCAGCGCGTCACGCCTGACAAGGAGGAGACCATTAAGAAGCTGGAGGTAGAGAGGTGGGGTGGGAGACGGGATGGGACACCCCCCTGGCTGGATTTTGGGGGGTGGGGGGTGGGGGGTGGGGGTGTGTGTCCCCCCCACCATGAACACCCCTCTGGCCCCCTCAGAGCCTGGAGAAGAAGGAGGAGGAGGTGACGTCGGAGGAGGAAGAGGAGAAGGAGGAGGAAGAAGAGGGCAAGGAGGAGGAGGAGGAAGAGTACGATGAGGAGGAGCACGAAGAGGTGAGTGGGAGGGGGGGAGTGAGGGGGGCACCCCGGGGGTGTTGGTGGGGTGGGGAGACCCCCAAGTGCCACCGTGTCCCCTCCAGGAGACCGACTACGTCCTGTCCTACTTTGACAACGGGGAGAGCTTCGGGCCCGACAGCGACGACAACGGGGACGAGGCCGTGTACTGACCCCGGGGACCCCCCGAGAGCGGGGACCCCCCCAGCCCCTGGGACACCGGGGACCCCTGTCACCCCTCCTTGGGACATTGGGGTCCCCTGACACCCCCACTTTGGGATACAGGGGGTCCCCTGTCACCAGCCCCCAAGGCCACCGGGGTCTCCTTTCACCCCCCTGCATTGGGACATTGGGGTCTCCTGTCACCCCCCCCTTGAACATTGGGGTCCCCTGACACCCCCACTTTGGGGTACAGGGGGTCCCCTGTCACCAGCCCCCAAGGCCGCTGGGGTCTCCTTTCACCCCCCCCGCATTGGGACATTGGGGTCTCCTGTCACCCCCCTTTCAAATCTGGGGTCCTCTGTCACCTCCCCAGGACACCAGTGCCCCCCATCACCCCCGCTGGGACATTGGGGTCCCCTGTCACCCTCCCTTGGGACATTGGGGTCCCCTGTCACCCCCCTTGGGGACACCCTGTCACTCCCCCCTCCCACCACCAGGTGGCACCGGTGTTCCGGGGGAGGGGGGAGGGAGGGGCGAGACCCCCCAAATTTGGGACATTTCCCCCCTCCCAGGGACTCCCCCATTTCCCCCAACCCCTTTTACAGCAGCTTTTTTTAAAACTTTTGTGCTGTTTTTTTTTAAAAACAATTTTTGGGTGGATTAAAGCGGATTTTGGCATTTCCAGCTCAGCTCCGTGGGTTTGGGGTTTATTATTTTTTTGGGGGGGGGGGGAGTTGGTGGGG